GGGCCAAGCAGAGCAGCCCCAGCGCTTACTTGGCTCCAGCACTCAGGAAACGGCTCTTCTTGAGCACAGCCGTCAGCATCCTGCGAGCAGCCTGGAGCCAGGACCTCGCCGGCTCCTACAGATGCTGGGAAGAGCTGGGCGTGTGCGGGAGGGAGCAGGGGGACCAGGAACCCACGATATCAGCCTCCCCACGGCTCTGGCCCAAGTGACTCAGGGAAACGCGGCTCCCACTGCCCCCGCCCCACCCCGCATCCCCGGGAGGAAACCGAGCTGCGCTGGCCCAGTGCCAGCGACAGCGGCCCCCACGCCCCGGGGCTGCCTGGCCAGGAGTCACAGTTTCCCCTCCCCAGGGGCTGGCACACTCCTGCCAACCCGCCGGCCAGCCCGCTGTGTCACGCGCCACATCAGGACCAACGTGTGCACCTGGCCCCGTACCCGCCCTCACGCACCCTCCCTGTACCCATCCAGGCCCTGCCACCCCGCATCGCAGCCCCCTGCCAGCACCCAGCGGCACAGCCCTGCGGAGGCAGGCAGGCCTCTGGGAGACAGACACACAGGTGCACCCCTGGGAGCGCGGAGAGCCTGGGGCTTCCCAGCTGTACTAGTCAACAGCGCTCCAGTGCAACCGTGTGCTGCCTGGCCCTGCTCACAGGGGACCCCACCCCCATCAGACTGATGCAGACCCACTTACCCCTGCAAACAGCCCCCCGCTGGGCACTGCAGTGCCCCTCCCCCGGCTGGGCCCTCACAGCACACAGGCCCCGTCCACATGCTCTCCAGCTGCCCAGCTACAGGAGCACGTGGGCTGTGGAGCAGAGCGCAGCCCAGCTTCCAGGACACGATGGGGGGCAAGTCTCCGGCAGCGCCCCAGGGACAGGCCAAGGGGCAGCTGCTTCTGGATTTGTGCAGCACCTCGTTCAAATCCCGGCTCATCAGTTCACCAGCTCAGCGCCAGGTTTAACCGGTCAACTGATCACCTGTGGAACCCCCAGCCACAGGAGGGCTGCTGCTTCCTGCTCCCAGCCCCTCCCCGTGGTCCTGCACCTGCTAGAAACCCCACAGCGCCCTCTGCTGGGAGAGGCCAGGCCTGCAGCAGAGTGGCAAGCAAACCGTGGGCACAGGTGGAGCTGAAGGATGTGGGGCGCTGGACGCTCCCAGTCCCTCCCCCTTGCCCGACGTGCCAGGCCCTGCCTGTGCCCAGCCAGGCATGAGGGGCATCACCCATGGGTCCCAGCAAAGCTGCCCGCACTCCCCAGCCAGGCCCCAACTGCAGCAGGGATGCCCGGTCTCCCTGGCTGGTCTGGGTCTGGCACAGCCCTTCCTGACTGCCCGAGTGCGGGGGGCTGCAGTCGGAGGTACCTGGCCGGCGCCGAGGGCCGAGATGTATCCAGCAGAGCCTGTGCTGGGGGCAGAGAGGAGCCCAGGGAAGCCAGAATCCAAAGCAGACAGCAAGGATCATAAACCACCAGGGTGTGCCAGGACTCCAGAGCACCATCCCAGTGTGGCCCTGCGGGACTGTAGGGAGAACTGCAACCCCTCCCCCCCCACCTCCCAAAACACCTCACCCCAAGAGTGCTGTGGGTGTGAGACAGTGCACATGTGTATATCTGTGCAAGACTGTGCGTGTGTATATGTGACGTAGTGGGGGTACTTGCTGGGCTGTGGTGACCTCTGCTGTCTGGAGCAAGACCCAGCAGGGAAAACCTCATTATGCAAAGGTGACTCAAAAACCTGTCTGACCTGCGGCCCCCCATGGGGAGAAACAAAGGGAGGTGGAATGCTGCCCTGGCTGTGGGCAGGGCTGGAAGAGGGGGAGTTAGTTCCTGGCTGGAAGGCAGGGAAGAAGGAGCTGGGGAGGGGGCTGGGACTCCCCTATCTCAAGGGGGGCACTGAGGCCTCTTAGCCCCAGTTCCTGTAACCAGATTACATCTGTGCTGCGCTGTGCTGGAGGAACAATAAACAACCTCCATTCTACTGGCTGGTGAAGTCTGTTCATGCCATTTCGGGGGTGCAGGAGATGGGAAAATCCCGACGCGTCGTCACAGTATATTTCTGTGTGAGACAATGCACATGTGTGTATCTGTGCAAGACAGTGTGTGTGTGTGTATGTATGTGTGTGTATGTATTTCTGTGTGAGACAATGCACTTGTGTATATCTGTGCAAGACTGTGTGTGTGTGTTTCTGTGTGAGACAGAGTGTGCGCGCGTGTACATATGTGTGCAGGACACTGTAAGAGCGAGATAGCGCACGTGTATATGCACGCGCGTGTGTGTAAGTGAGAAGTGCACGTGTATATCTGTGTGAGTGACAGGAGATGGTGTACACACACACACACACACACACACACGCTGCCACCTTGTGGCCACGACCAGGAGGCGACACCAGCATCTGTCCCTGGACTTCTAGCGTTTGTTGTACCCAGCCGGCCAGGCTGGGGCGTGAGGCTGCCCCTGGAGGCTCCTACCTGAAGCAGTCGGTGTGCCAGTCGGCATCCAGGGCCTGCAGGTATTGTCCATCGTAAATACTGTGCCCACAGCTTGCACACACAGGCAGGTCGCTTCCTGCAGGGCCCAGAGAGGCACTGGCTATCACACCCACGTGCAAGGGCACAGCCAGGCCCAGGAGAGCCAGTCTGGCTCCAAAGGCCCTGCATGTGTTGAGGCAACCATGGGGAAAGATGTGGGCAGGGGAGTGGGTGGGAAAGGGACAGGGCAGCAGGGGGCACCGTGGGCAGAGGACCCATGTGAGGGAGGAGAAGGAGGAGCTGGCATGCATGGGCAGGAGCATGCAGTGAAGGCAGGATGAGGCATGGAGGGTGAAAGGGGGAGGGGAAAGGGGGAAGGGGAACA